CTCGGCCAGGGTGCTAACCTGAAGTAGTTCTCCATCAGACTGAGTGTTGGAGAGAACTGACAGAAGAAAGTATGAAAGGATAAACGAGGCGTGCTGTATAAAGCGCTGTTAGTGTTTGAGCACTAAAATGTTATATAACAATCACTGTGGTGGGATGTGGCTTGTGAGCTGCAGGGGAGGGGTGGAGCAGTGGGTTAGGGGTGTGGTGTCAGGGGAGTCTGACTCACACACCTGACCTCATCATCCAATCATATCTGACCTGTTAAAGATGTTGCTGGGACGTGAGAGGAGGGCTGTGTGTGCAGAAGCAGGGCAGCCGGAAAGTTACAAAAGAAAAGATATAAAAGACATAAAAAGTGTAACGCTGCTGTCGTCAGGTCCTTCACTGCCACAGTGTAACTAAATATGACTAAAATATGTCAACACTGGACTATTTAGAATAGAATAGAATAATCCTTTAATTGTCCCACAAGGGGAAATTTGGTTGTAACAGCAGCCAAAAAGACAAATATACTACAAACAGTACACAGGACAGAAACAAACACAATGTTTCTTACATATTTACATTAAGGACAATGGTTACTATAAACAGAGAGTACTGTACAGTTATTAAATTAAATAAAAATAATTACAGGTAAGAGGCAAACCAGGTTGTAGTGCGAATTGGTTAATTAACTAACTTATTGCAGTTACAGCATTGATGTAAACATCTGTTTGTTTGGAGCAGTTCAGATTGTACAGTCTGACAGCTGCAGGGAGGAAGGAGCTGCGGAAACGCTCCTTCATGCATCGAGGACGCAGCAGTCTGTCACTGACGGAGCTCTGCAGTTCAGCAACATCTACATGCATGGGGTGGGAGACTCTGTCCATCAGAGATGTTATTTTGGCCAGATTTGTGATTTAAAGAAAATCACAGTTATGATGTAATATCCTTTCTTATTTTTCCTAAAATCACCTTCCTGGATTTTTGGAAAAACTTGAGGTGAAGGAAAGCCGTCGTGGATTCTGACACCTGAGGAAAAGAGAAGCACGATCTGCTGTGTTCAAAGTTTCCCAAATTTAAACCAGAGAGTCTCAGATACAGATGCAGGTTTTAAAGGTGGACAGCCTGGTGAAAAACACGAGGCTGGGAATAAAAGAATAAAGTTTCACAGTCACACAGGTCAGATGGTCGTAATCAGACATGCTTCTGTCAGACGTGTGGAATTATAGAAGAATGAGGACCCAAATGCAGACACGGATGCAGGAGAATGTTTTGGGCAGAAAGTCTATTTACAGCTGATCAATACTGCAAACAGGTGGAACAGAGAAAACTAAGGAAACCTACACCGAGGAAAGCTGAGCATAAACACAACCTGAGGGACGAGGAACCGGGAAACACAG